TTCACGGTTCCGATGTAGGGACGGCTCTTCGTTCGCCTGGATCACCTGGAGAAGGGCGCTGCTTATGATCATCCCCGACCTCATATCATAGGATTGCGAATTCATGATAAGCCATCTAACACAAGCATTGAACTCGACTGGTGGCCCAACTGACGAAGCCACATCGCAACTGCGCCTGACTCTGAACCATCCAAGCATTGCGCAGAGAGTTCCATAGATGCCCACCTCAGCCATTTATTTCCCTTTCGTGTGGCCTCAGCTCCACCAAGCAACTGTCCGCCCCGTGGACGATTCATAAGTGAGTTATGTCGTTGCCCATGACTTACCAAGCGGCTCATGAGAACAGGATCGAGAAAGCGAATAAAAGAACCTCGAATTTGATTTGGAGGAGCAGACTTACAATCGAAAGGCTGCAAACACCACCCCTTGCCTCGCGCCGTGCCTCGGTGGATGGAGTGAATGAAGCCTTGCAGGTTGGGCATAGGCAGCAGTTCCGCCCGGCCGCCCGAAAATGGGCCCTCTCACCAATTCTGCCCCGCCGCCCCTGCCCTTGCCTTCAGTGCTGTGCCACTGTACGACTCTGTTGCCTGGCACAACTCCAACCCTGACCTTCATCCGCCTGCTTGCTTGCTGTGTTTTTGATGCCATACACCCCGCGTTGTTCACCTGCCAGGTCTTTCTTTGAAACTACTGCATTGTCCTCAATCAAGTGCAGCCATCCGAGAGCCGGCTCAGAGAGCCGGCTCAGAGTTACAGCAGCACGCCTCAAGACGTCCATATCACTCCAAACGCTCAACGGAACGCCTCTGATGTGCTTTCTACTGCTTCTTTTCTCCGTCATCTCTGACTTGCCTGTAGTTGCTCGTGCCCACATGACGCTGGAATCAACTGAGCGCTGTCGAAGAGGCACAGCCTGGTCAAGTGCAAGGTTCGGACGAACCAGACTAAGATAGCGAATTCCCGAAGGTTCTTTCATCATCGGTGTCTCCTCGTTGCGAATCTCTCTCTGAAAGCCTGGACCGGGGATGCCCCATTCTGCGTGGTATTTTCTCGCACGCGGGAGATCTGTCGGCACTTGTGTTCGGGTTCCTATCCGGGGGATGTCCGCCCGTCTTTGGCCACTGTATTGTTGCTCACGGGATTGGCTCGTCGAAGATTCGGCGCCGCATGTCGAGATCAAGCCCTCGCAGTCAAGGCTGTGAAGCTTCCGACCAGCAAGGATTTGGAAACGAATACACTGATGCCACCTAGACCAACAACGGCCAAGAACAAGCCAGATGCCGCTGTGTGGCCAGACGTTTCCAGAACTTCACCTGCGACTGAGATGCATGTCAAAGCTGCTATGCTGACTAGGGCAGTTGTCGTCCCTGCCTTTCTATTAGACTAATGCTACATCTCAGAGTTTGAGTCACGTACCATAATACCTGCCGAAATTCTCGGACCGGCATGTCTTTCCAATACAGCCTATAACCTATCAGTACTCGAGAAGTATCAGCGACTTGATCTTGGGCTTACCAGGAATGACCGAAAGCCACGAACCTGAACCGAATCCCCACAGACAGGCGAAAGCGTAGAAAGGCCCGATCGAGCTGGTATCAAGGGGCACGAACAGCGATGCCGTGCAAATGAAGGTCAGGGGTACCATAATAAGGAGTACATTAAAACAGCCGATATAGTCCGATACAATACCGGGTAGCAGGCGTCCAAGGAGCGAGAACCCATTCGACAATGCGACTAAGGTATAGCCCGCCGATTCAGTGAACCCACTTCGGTTAGCGAAAGTAGGAAGTAGTCCATTGATACCGAACATGGCGAACCCTAGCAGGAAATACCCCAACGTAATGAACGTGAAGGGCAGAGACCTAAAGGGTTCGAGGTTAGGAATCACCGACGAAGCCTTATACTCAGGTGCCGTCCCGCTCTCTGCTTTAACGATAAGTCTAGCAGCGGGCAGGTAGCATAAACAGCCCCCAACCATGAGGCCGGTGACGATGAAGGCCAGGACTCGAATTGACCAAGTCCACCCCCATTTAGGGAGTATAGCCTGCAAAATAAGAGGGAAGAATACACCGCCGAGACAGGAGCCGGAGAAAGCACATCCCATTGCGGCCCCGTGGCGATAGGTAAATAGCTTGCTGATCGTGGAGATAGCCACCGTTGTAGTAGTGGCGGCGCCAATTCCACCCAGTAGCCCTAAGCAAAGCATAAAATGCCAGTATTGCGTGCACTCGGCCAGAAGGAAGACCATGGAGATATTCATGGCAGCCGAAGCAGGCGCTAGAAGCCGTGGCCCGTAGCGGTCCATCAGAGGCCCCGCCTGCAGTCCGAGGAGAAGGCTTAGAGATGTGTATAAACCTACAATCCAGCCGATGTCCCGAGTTGTGTAGTCATTTAACTGGTTTAGCTGAATGTAGACTTGAATAGTGCCTATGCCTTGCATGAATCCTGTAGTAACCGTGAGACCAAGATCAGGGCGAAAAGCGAGCTTGCACTTACCGAAAGTACAGACCAAAAACATCGCAGACCCTGCTACACAGAGCCACGGCAGCCGACCTAGATCACGGTCAGGGTTATCGACGCCCGAGACGTCCGAGGAATCGGATGTAAGTCCAGGATCGAGCCCAGCTTCCAAAGCCCCTGCCGACGCACTTGCCGTGTTGTTTTTGTCGTTGCTGTGCGCCATGTCAAGAGTGAAAAACGGTGGTCAAGGGGGGAAAAAAACGTCACAACAATGCAAGATTATCTGCATCTTACGCCAATAATTATTGCTTCAGCGAGTATATTTAAGGATGAAAGCGCGCGCATAGTCAATCGCGCCTTATTAAAAATACGGTACCGACGATGATGTCCACCGCTGAAGGGGGT